TATCACCGGTAAGCGCGGGTGTCATAGCCGGTGTTTGCGAAGGTGAGTGGTTAAGATCAAACGACGCAGACCGTGACGACCCCACAGATGTTGCACGATGAAAGGGACCTGTCTTCAGTAGGTCGGGTGCCGGTTCCACTGATTTCAGGGCACGCTTTTGACGGCCAATCATACCCATGCGTGACAAACCAAAGTCAGTCAGCTTTAGATGGCCTTTGCCGTCAATGAGAAGATTGTCAGGCTTCAAGTCGCGGTGAACAATGCCGCGGCTGTGCAGATGCTCTACTCCCAAAACAACCTCAGCCAAGTACTTCTTGGCCCAATCTTCAGGCAGAGCTCCAAGAACTTTGATCAGTGAAGCGCAATCGCCACCATTCAGGTATTCCATGACCAGATACAGGTAGTCTTTGCTGGAAAAGGTCCAGTACAACTTTGCAACAAAGTCACTCTCGCCTTGCCACATCATAATGGCACGCTCAGCTTTAACATTGGTAACTTGATTCTTTGCAACCATGTCGGCCTTTTTCAGGACCTTGATGGCATAATACTCGCCAGTGGACTTTTTCTTTGCAAGGTAAACACTGCCAAAGGCACCCTTGCTGATTGGCTTAATGATTTCAAAATCTTTGATAGACGGGGGAACCGCCCGTGGCTGTGGCTGGGTGGAGGCAATGAGGCGAGGGGAAATCGGCCTCGGGCCGTCTGAGCCAGCAGTAGACGACTGTCTGCGGTGATGTTGTATCGTGTGCATCATGGCCGGCGACGAAAACTCGGTTGTCTGCAGAACGGGTGAGGTGATTGGTGAGTGGATGCCTTCAACACCACTAGGAAGGCGTGGCTTGGTTGTCCGAAGAGGTGAAGAAGGCGGGGGCACCATGGAGCGAGCTGGCGATTGTTGGCGACTGGACATGACACTCGGTAGTATCAAACTCTTGCGCTTGCGCTCTCGTGAGCTAGCTACTCTGCCAAGGCCAACATCAGAGGTCGCGGGCGAGTCGGCTCGGCGCGGACCAGAGAGTACAGACGAACGCATGCTGGTATCACTCTCGGCACCAGTGTCACTTTCAAAATGCATGGACTGGCGCTTGTTGTGTGTTGCTATGCTGATGGCACCAACGTGTGATCGCGGTGTTTGGCATCCTCCTCTTGGACTGCTAGATCTATTGGAGCCAGCCACCGAAGACTCCCGGCGTCCGACTCGTGCTGGCAACGAGGCATCCGATGTGTTGCGCAGGGCATGCGCCATTGAAGAGGGGGGATCAAATGAACATGGGAATATCCCCTCCTCGCCGGGAGCTATGTCGGTAGCCGTATCTGTGTCATTTGTATCTGACTGTACTTCTTCTTGTCGCTCATCCTCGGATGAGCTGTCTTCGCCTGCAGCGATACGGGCAGCTTTCTGGATGGCAGCTTCAATGCATTCCTGAACTAGAATGTCGAATTCGATGCGCAGCCGCTCAGAATACTCGAGAACACGTCGGTGACGTATGACGGCGTCAACCTTTGCTCTTGCAAGTTTACTAGTGTCTTCACACAACAGCTTGAGGCCTTCAGTGTGGTCAGCTGAGCCCGTGGTGGGCGACTGCCATTGGAGAACCTGTGATATGCGATTCTCAGATTGCGGTGATTGGGTGCGAATCTCTGCAACTGACTGGCCGCGGGTATTGTCCTTGACCGCTGGTGTGTTGATCTCAAGGGCGGTGTCACATAAGTCGAGGACTAGCTCGACGATGCGCGCTAAGGGTCTTCGGACGGCAAATGACCGTGCACGATGATGGCCAAACCCTGATGGGCGCTCGGAGCGCTCGCGAGATCGCGAGGGCGGGGATGCTGGGGAGTTGCGGCCAGAGGGAGTGCTAGAAGGGCTACCCGAAGAGGGTGTTGATGTCGAGTGGATGATAAGGCCTTTGTATTCTGCGGGTTGAAGGGGTTGCACGGAATCTATCGAGGCAGGTCTTGAGCGCTGGCTGTGAGACTCGAGAGTGTCGAGGACCTTGACAATCGCGTTGCGGTGTTCTGCAAGAGTCTCTTGGGCCATTTGCACGTCCATTTCTGCGCGGTGCTCCTGGAGACAGAGTTCAGAGTGCTTCTCAAACCACCAAGGGGTAATCTGCCGTTCGCAGATGCGGCAGAGAACAGGCAGTGGCGGAGCACAGTTTCCAGGATCTGTAGTACATTGTTCGGCAAGACCCGTCAGGTAGTGAGCGAGGACTTCTGCTCCGACGCCAAGGGCCTCGACAAGGACCTCGGGAAGATCAATGGTGACCTCCCGAATGACCGAGGGTCTCACCATCCACATGGTCTGTAAGTGTTAGTTAGTAGTTATGTGCGAATGTCGTCGATGTATCCCGGTACGTACGTGGCTCTCGGCTCCAGTTGTTCGATCGTAGACCATGATGCCCTGGGCTTCTACGTTGAGGAACTGTTCCTCGTCATCGGGCACATTGGTTGGCGAGCGTGGCGTAGACTCTTGGCCTTGGGCAACAGAGTGCTTGGGCCGTCGTTGGCGCAGAATGGAATGGGGGCCTAGTTGGATGGTGAAACGGGCAATGTGGCTCCTCGAGTCGTCCTTGCGGACGGACTCGATTGCTTCTGCGAAGCCGTCTGCGCCGGAGCATATCAAATCAAGCACCGGCTTGCCCGTAACTTGGGCAGGCAGAGTGCCAATGACATCGGTCCACGAGGGGCTGACGTAGCGGATCTTGCCCTCGAGGTCCAGGTCCATGATGATGTTCAGACTGTGCTCGGCAGCCTCCTTGAGGTCTGCACGCTCATTGCGCATGTCCTGGCTAACGGTCCTCTCCATGCTATGTCGATGGCCAGGCGAGGCGGTGGCCTCATGCTTGAGTGCCGTAACGGCGGGGGGAGCTAACATCGTAGGTTTCTTGTCGTCAGCCATTGGTGCTGTTGGGGGTTACGAATGCCGTGGGTGCGGCTCTGGTTGCTCGGGCCCGAGGTCGGGAGGAAGAGGGGATGGGCGCGCGTGCCCGAGGGCGTATTGGTGATTTGCTATGAACAGAAGGCTCCCAAGACCATGTTGGAGGGCTCTGAGATGGACCGGGAGGGCTTGGAGTATAGGAGGCGAGGGCCGGCTTTGTGGTGCAGTGCGGTGCTGACTGCAACGAGGACGAGTCTAGAGCAGCTGCATTGCGGAGCCAGACGGAGGATTGGACAGTGCAACGGGGACCGAGGAGCGGTGGCAGCAGGTGATTTGACGGCAGCAGTGGCAGTGGAGGGAGAGGAGGAGGTAGTGGTGATGTAGCAGAAAGCGGCGGGTGGGTATTATTTTTTGGGGCGTGCTTGGGGGGTGGATTGGCGGAAGTGGTGGGTGGGTGGAGAGGTGGAGAGGGGCAGAGGGTGGATGTATCAGCCGGCAGCACGAGCGTGTTAGAGCGATAGGAGGAGGAGAAGAAGGTGAGGTAAGTGGATGCAGCAACGGCGTCGTGCAGCAGCGTAGTCGGGCAAGCGAGGGGTGGGTGAGGGAGCCCGGCGAGGGATGGAACGAGGGCAGATTGTGGGTGGGCAGCGCTATCCAGCTGGCAAAAGTCGCCAGGCCGCACGCGTCGAGTGAAAGTCACACGGAAAAGCGCCGTGCAGGGCGGAGGCTAGCAGCCGGTGGGTGCAGATGATGCTGCTTACCCTCTGGCGCACGGCGCGCCCTCTGCGCCCGCCCGACACTGCTCAACGCTGCACCATCCCGGCTACCAAAATAATACAGCACGACGGCACGCCAGCGACTGGGCCGAATGCTCGGGGAGCCATGTATGTTTACCATGCAAACATGCCTTGATGCGACTACATGCGACACACGATACATGTCATATACGCAAGGGTAGTAATGCCGTCGCTGTCAAGTGGGTGTGTATATGTGCTTATGGCTATTGTTGTTGCTGCTACCGCTACCACCACCACCACCACCTCCTTCACCACAGCCACTGCCACTGCTACTGCTACTGCTACTGCTGCATCTTGATCCATGCCACCACCGACCAGACCGCCTCCCCGCCGCACACTCCCGGCAACATCTGGCTCAACTGCATGGCTCTCCCTGCGCTGCTGCTGTTGTTTTTGGCGCCGTTGTCGATACTGTTTTTTTCTTCTTGTTGGCGCTGGTGCTGCTACCGGTGCTGCCGCCAGTATTATTGGTGCTGGTTGTGGTGGTGCTGTTGTTGGTGCTCCCCATATAAACAAGTATAACTACATATTCCATACTACATGGCACCGCAGCCCAGCCCAGCGCAGCCCAGCTTGTCAGCTCACGCCCAGCACACGACCACAAAGTGCTTAATGCTAAACACCACGGCAACCTACCAGGCGTTGCACTGCTGCAGTGGCTATTGCCCGGCCATCAACAATGAGCCCCTCGCCACAACCTTGCAGCGTCGCCTCGGATACAAAGTCTGACTTTGCTGCAACAAGACGCACATTTTTGCTATCCGGCCAATCACCGCCCGCCCGCTTGCTCCCTTGCCTCTTCCCCGTCGTGCACCATGTGGATCTGGCCCCACTACGTCAGCAAGGCCTTGCCCGCGGTCATTTGGGAATCATATACACACAAGTCTATTCACTGGCCTCCTATCTACACACATCTACATGCCACCTACCACGTACCTCATCTGTCCCTGCTTCTGGCCATCACTCTCATCTCGTGTCTGTCCCAGAGCCCACTCGCCATGCTCCACGGCCACTAAACCCAATTTCATCTCTCTCCCGAGCATGTCCCAGTACGTACAATACTCTACAATACACATGTACGTACATCTGCTGTATCTTTGCCCGTACACACGTACAGTAATAAGTATGCAATGCTCCCCACCACCACAGCACTAGCGTCGCGCTAGTGAGAATCGCCACCTGCTCAACGAACCATGCACGCGGCAAACACGCAATTGGACACGCTCTCCAAGCTACTCTGCATTCAATGCTACACCACCTGCCCGTCCACTGCCCCGGATCTTCCTCTGCTTACCCCGTCTTCTACTCTATGTACTTGTGTACATCTATTCAAAATACACTGCTTCCGCTTCCAGCACCCTCGTCTCCCCTGACAACTCGCTCTTGATTACCACCCGGGGGTCCTCCCTGCTCGCCGCAACCCTCTTGCCCTCGACTTCCTTCTCCTCGTACAACACTTCGACCACTTGGCCCTTATCAATCCCACCGCGCCCATGCCACTGCACCTCTTGACCCCTCTTCGGAACCCGCGTCTTGTCTCCGGCTGCCCCTGTTGGCTCCCCGTCACCTCCCCCTGTATTCTTTGCTTTCTTGTTCGGGCATACCGCGTTTGCTCCCCGCCCACGCTTCTTCCCACCCTCCTCTTCATGCTCATGCGACCCTTTCTTGGACCTGCGCTCCTCCTGCTGGAACTTTCGGTATTCCCGCTCATTGCTCTCCATATATTCGGGGTCGTCCCAGTGTGTTGTGCAGTCGCTGATGCTCTTCTTATTAATCTTGACGTATCCCTTCGTCGAGCTGCACTCCTCGTCTGTCGCTGTCTCATGTTTCTCGTCGACCCTGTGGTCGCCTCCTCGCTTCTTATGTTCCGATGCCATCATCTGCCCCTACGATTGCATGGCATTAATCAAACGCCCACTTCTTGCGCACATCGCCTCGTACCTTTGTAGCCGACCGCTGACTTGGCGCGCATCCCTTGCCCCCTCCCTGAACCTCCTCCCCCTTGAGTGGCTCGCGGACCTCCAGATCCCTATACTTGTCGTCCGTCTTTGAAGGCATAGTGACTGCGTACTTTCGAATGCTGAGATGTAGTGGTACTGTTGTGGGCTGACAAACGTGGTAGACCTTTTCTAGCAATTGTTTGCTGCGAGGCAGAATACGACGCATTTTAAACAATCAACTCGACGGACAAACGCAATTATCTATCCAATTCCAAGTCTCCTTCCACTGACGTATACGTCCCGGCACAAACAAACACCCTTTTCCTTTTTCTTCACGCCAGCCACCTCATATCAAGTACATCATCATCAAAAGCCCCCTCACCAACTCGCGACGCGCCCAGATCCCCTCACGACCGTGGTACCACCAGCGTTTCCACCCTTCACAAGCGTACCGCAATGACATCAATGATATTTCAGCGTGATCCGATTTTAGCTGGCGTAATAGCACGGTCATTGTGCTTCGATCGTACTAACGCCAATCGGTGTAGACCTCACGGCCTAGCCGCTGATCCACCCGACGATAAAGTTCCCCCTTTGCTCTGCCGCTATGCATTCTGTGCAGACATGCACGCCATGAGTCTGCGCTGCAATATCCCAGGCCCATTAGCTCCTTCAGCTGCAGCCCGAGGCGTTTACACTCCACTATGATACTAGCCCGTGGAGAGTGGTCTGAGCTTCCTGGATGCATGTGAGACTGACAGCGCTCATGAGAAGCGCGTCGCTCTCTTTCCTAGACCAAGGACCAGGACAGCTCGGGTAAGAGATCCATCAAATTATTGAGCCTGCAAATCGACGTCTTACCTTCGCGTGCCACTGCTCCTACTCTAGTGGGCTACGAAACAAATGAGCTTACAAATCTCATGGACTGCTAGATCCTACTATTCAGGTCTGATGTCAAACTCTTACTAAATGGTATTCACGAGACAATTGTGCTTAGAAAGGGTCCGAGTTGGAACATGAGCTCGCCAATAATCTTTACAAATAAGCTGCTAGTAAATTCTACGAAACGTCATTTCTTCAATCTCATAGCTAGCTGATCGTAATACTATTTGTCCATCTCACAGAAACAACTGCCTAGTATGTAATCACACCATGCAGACACAGCTCCGCGGCCACCATCCCAACCACGACAATTCTCCATGCGCATGCTATCACGTGCAAGCAAACTACACCTCTATCGTGCCACCAGTACCATCTACCTCGCGTTCTTACACGTCAGTCTTACCAAAATACCACTCGTCCAGTATATAAAAAAATCTACACACCGTACCATGTCTATCCGAATACCCTCTGGCCCAACGACTAAACCTCACACCTGCTCTTCAAACTTTTTTGAAAAGAGGAGACGTAGTAAAGGCGTGTAACACGGCGGCGGAGAACAAGACTAATTCTTTGGAAAGGGGCGCTGGTCATGGGTTTTACGGTTGAAGATGTGTAGCAGAGAAATGATGTGGGAGTTGATGGGGGGTTGAGAAGAGGAACTTGGGTGTATGTAGGAAAGTAGTTGTGTAGTGTGTAGATGATTTCGAGTTTGACTTTCGTACTGTAGTTGAGTATGCGATAACATATTGTCTCTTCTTTGTTGGTCTGCTTATACTTATACCATATCTCGTAGGTCGACGGTGTTCTTGACACTTGCGAGTAGTAGCTGGGACTTGGAGCGTTGTTAAATGCACTCAGTAGGATTATGAGTATTACCGAATGTTGATTGTGGTTCGACTCCACTCTGTGTTTAGATATTAGTGAATAAGATAGTTGGGATGATAGAGATATGGTGTTCTTCTGTCTTAGATGCAATCCAGACAAGTACAGTACATGACTTTCACCTCTTCCTAGGTTAGAATACAAGAATGGCTTTTTAGTTGCAATAGCTACCCATCCCTCATGGTGCTTTTCCAAGGATTATGGTATCGTTGAAGAAATATCAAACAGTCACTTCAGCATGCTAATCTGAATCTCTTCACATTTGGAGCGTAGGTGTAGCAATATTTCCAAAACATATCCAAGTTGATCACGTGCATGGAGGCGTGCGGGAGAGCGGGTAGTAGTGGATACTACGTACGGGAGTAGAAGCATGGACCATTGGCCGCCAAGATGCGGGGAAAGCTGAGCTCCCCCAACATGCAGCTCATGCAAGGTACACAAAGCTCTTGTACTCTTCTAGCAGCTCTCAGCTGATACACTAACCCTTCATCTCTTCTTCAACCCACGCAGGAAGCTCCATATTTGACAGCTTCATCCCATCAACCATGGGCGGAGAATCACATCGTATTATACCAGTAACGGTAGCCAACGACTACCCGAAGTTATCCGATGGTCCGGTCGGCAAACAGATTCACAGCATCTACGAGAGCCGCTTGAGGCAGTTTTTCGATGGCGGCCAATACCGAGAACAGAGTCTGATAGGGTAAGCCCTCGGAGCTGTAGTGGCCATGACCACAGCCTATAGGCCTAGGCATCGTATGCTTATACGTGATATAGCAAGCTCACCGAAGCCGTCGCGTCAGGTCCCGAGTGGATCAAGCTATCTGTATACTCCCCTCCAGACCTCTCGCGTCCTTTGTTCGATGAGGCGACATCACACGCGTTCCATCCGACAAAGGTCGGCGAATCCTTTGGCCCCAGTTGGTCGACGCACTGGTTCAAGGTCCAGCTCACCCTTCCCGACTACTTGCTGGACAAGGAACATCTCGAGTTCGTCTGGGACGCGAACAACGAGGGCTTGATCTGGACCGAAGATGGACGTACCGTGCATGGCTTGACGGGCGGAGGTGAGCGTACACAATGGATACTGCCTAAGGCGTTTCGAGACGGCAAGGAGCATACCTTCTACATTGAGATGGCCTGTAACGGCATGTTCGGTAACGCACCTGGTGGCGACTCTATCCAACCACCAAAGCCCGACAGGTACTATACCCTCCACACTGCCGAGGTCCAGGCTGTGAATCTAGACGCCAGAGGGCTCTACTTTGACTTCTGGGAAATATCAGATGCCGCCCGTGAGTTCCCTTCAGATTCAACCCAAATCCACGATGCCCAGCAGGTCTGTAATCGCATCATGGATACTTTCATTGCTGGCGATGGAAGTCGGGAAAGTATCAAGGCAGCACGCAAGATTGCTGCCGAGTACGTCGGAAAGAATGTCGATTCACACAAAGTATACCAAGGCGACCAAGAAGCTATTGTCCATGGTATTGGGTACTGCCATATCGACACATGTTGGTTGTGGCCTTTTGATGAGACTAAGCGCAAAGTCAACCGCTCCTGGTCGAACCAGTGTGATCTCATTGACCGGTATCCCGAGTTGCGCTTCTGCTGCTCACAGGCTCAACAGTACAAATGGTTGGAGCAATACTACCCATCCACATTTGATCGTGTCAAGAAGAAGGTCAAGGAGGGTAGCTTCCAGCCGATTGGCGGTAGCTGGGTCGAACACGATACTAACCTACCCGGTGGAGAATCGCTAATCAGGCAGTTCTTGTACGGCCAGCGTTACTTTGAAAGCAAATTTGGCCAGCGTTGTCGCACTTTTTGGCTGCCAGATACTTTCGGGTACTCCTCACAGCTTCCGCAAATCTGCCGCATCTCAGGAATGACTCGTTTCCTGACACAAAAGCTCAGCTGGAACAATATCAACAACTTTCCCCACACCACTTTCAACTGGGTTTCACTCGACAACAGCCAAGTCATCTGCCACATGCCGCCCTGCGAAACATACACATGCGAAGCCAATTTTGGTGATGTCAAACGCAGCGTTACACAACACAAGTCTCTTGATCAAGACAAAACCTCGCTGCTTGTTTTCGGAAAGGGAGACGGAGGTGGTGGCCCAACATGGCAGCACTTGGAGAAGCTCAGGCGTTGCCGTGGTATAAGCGACACTACCGGACTGCTGCCTCGCATCAAGCTCGGTGACTCTGCCGATGACTTTTTCGACCGTCTGGAAAAGAAGGTGGCTAGTGGTGACGAGCTGGTAACATGGTACGGCGAGCTATACTTTGAGCTCCACCGTGGAACATACACCACCCAGGCAAACAACAAACGCAACAACAGAAAGTCTGAGATTATGCTTAGGGATATCGAATACCTTGCAACCTTGGCAACTATCAAGAATGGCTTCGGAAAGAAGAGCTCATACAAGTATCCGAAGAAGGAGATTGATGACATGTGGGAGAATGTGCTGTTATGTCAGTTCCACGATTGTCTGCCTGGAAGTTCGATTGAGATGTGTTATGATGATTCTGACCGCGTAAGTCGTTGCCTATAACATCTCCACAAGACATTGCTGATTGTTGTAGATTTATGCGTCGGTTTTCGCTACCGGAGAGAAACTGCTTTCTGACGCGCTAGCTGAGCTGGGCTTTGGCGACCAGACCACCTTGAACGAAAACACCAAGCTCATGGCCATCAACACTCTGCCATGGAATCGCTGTGAGGTTGTCAAACTTCCTGCTGAGGCACGCCAATCCGTGTACGGTCGAGAAGAGACCAGATATGGCCTCGCCTACAGCAACGGATCGGACAAGGGCTTTGGAGCCTTGGAAATTGCTCCTATGGTTTCCCGTATCCCTCCATCCAAGGCATTCATTGAAGAGATTCGCCCCAACGTCTACCAGATGCGTAACTCCCAGTTTGAGGTAGAGGTTACAGATGGCGCTATCACCTCACTCTTCGATATTCAAGCTAAGCGTGAGCTCATTCCAAAGGGCGCCAAAGCCGGTCAGCTTGTCATCTTTGACGACAAGCCACTCTACTGGCAGGCTTGGGATGTAGAAGTCTACCATTTGAAATCACGCCAGGAGCTCAAGCCCAGCAAAGTCACTATCACAGAAAATAGCGTTCACCGTGTGAGCCTGGAAGTCGAAACCAAGATCTCAGAGAAGTCATGGATCAAGACAACAATGTCTCTGCCAGCCGCTGGTGCCACTCCATCAGCCATTGAATTCGACGCCGAAATCGAATGGCACGAGACGATGAAGTTCCTCAAGGTGGAATTCCCCGTCGACATTGTCAACACCGAGGCCAGCTACGAGACGCAATTCGGTATCGTGCGCAGACCCACACACTACAACACCTCGTGGGACATGGCCAAATTCGAAGTCTGCTGCCACAAATGGGCCGACCTCTCCGAAGCCACCTACGGCGTCTCCATCCTCAACGACAACAAGTACGGCTTCGCAACCGCAGGCAACGTAATGCGTCTCTCGCTGCTCCGCGCCCCCAAAGCTCCCGATGCCCACGCAGACATGGGCAACCACAAGACGCGCTACGCCATGTTCCCCCACGAAGGCCCGCTGGACCACCGCACCATTCGGAAAGCGTTTGAATTCAACAACCCCCTCAAGATCGTGGGTACCACGCAGGATAATCACGACACCAGCCTCCTCAACCCATTCCACATTTACAACGCTCCAAACCTCGTTCTCGATACCATCAAGCGCGGTGAAGACGACGAGGATGTATCCAGGGGTGAGTTGCCAGTTAAGAAGGGCCACAGCGTTATTCTCCGCATTTACGATGCGCTCGGTGGCAAGAGTAAAGGTGTTTTGACCTGGGGCAATTTGAATGTGACAAAGGTTGTCAAGGTGAATGCGCTGGAGGATGAAGAGGAGAATGGTGAGGCGCTGAGGATTTGTTCGCTGAGGACTGGGGGGGATGCGGAGGCAATGGAGACGGGTGTTGAGATTGAAGTTAGGGCGTTTGAAGTGGCGAGTTATAAGTTGGTGCTTGAATGAGAGAGAGAGGATTGATAAGGGGCGGGGGGGAATGGATCTCGGACGTTACGTTTAGTTTATGATGCTCAAGGTTAATGACGAGTAAATGCCCAATAAAGACATTTTTGTTACAAATGTCAGTTTGCAAAATGGGTGAACAGATTGTCAGGACCAAACACCAAGATGCAATTCATTTCTACCATTTCTCCATTCTTTTGTTTTGCTCTGTTCCAAAGTAGGGGAAAAGAGAGAAATCGTTTCCACTATCTAACATGTGCGCAGCCCAGGACATGTATTTTCGAGGATAATCGACACGAGTTGAAACAGCAAAGTTTAATGGATACGATCCAGCTTGAGCCTGTTCCTCGCAATCTTGTCATCGACATTATCCGTCTTGCCTGTAATGCGAGTAATGTGCTCATTCTGCTTATCGGCTTCAGTACCCATTGCGCGACCCAGCTGGTTCAAGCTCTTGGCTGCAATGTGTAGTTGATCTGTTTACATTTCACGTTAGCACTTCTATTTCCATCATACGTATGTATGTGCATGGAACGGCAGAAAAGTACGTACCCAAGTTGTTCTCAATCTCATTCTCCATCTCGTCGTCTTCAGAGTCGGGCTCCATTTGGTACTTTGATCGCTGGGCAAGCGAAGCCTTGTTGCCTCCGATTCCAGCACCAGCACCTTGAATTCCGCGCTGTGCTTGGTTTGCACGTGCAGCTGATTCCCAGGCAGCCTTGTTTGTTGCCTCGCGGGTCTCACGGTCGCGGGTGTGTTGGTCCATGGCTCGTTGCATTTCCTTCTCGCGTTTGGAGTTACCGGTGAAGGGGTTGGGTACAATGGAGAACATGCTTGCGTTGATTCCTAGAACAAATCAGTATCGATATTGAAGGGGGTTCAGACTAGATCAGGTACTCACGAGCCAGCTCCTTAGTCTGTCCTGAAGCCCTATCACTTTGGATAGAAGCAAGATCAAGATTGCGTTCGGTGCTACGACCATGTTAGTTGCTGCACAAGAATATTGTTGGTATTTCCGTACTTATGGATACGCTCTCCTTGTGCTGCCATGGTGGACAGAGTTCCTCGACCAGTCTCCAAAGCCTGTTCAGCCAGACGCAGAGCGTTTCTTGTGCTAGAAACATCCTGCTGCTTGATGAACTTGATCTCTTGTTTCGTGGCATTAATATCTTCCTATAGTATTCAAGGCACAAAGTCAGCGCACGTATTGTGAGTAAGTGATTCTGGGAAACTGACCTCTTCCTGTTCTTCAGCCGTCAATTGGCGGTCCTCGTAGGTGCCATAGCCGCCAGGGGTAGAGCCGTAGCCCCCGGCAGCACCACCGCCGTATCCGCCGCTCTGGCTATCACCATAGGCACCACTCTGTCCATAACCGCCCGATTCTTGCTGTGGGCGTCCTTGTTGTCGTTGGGCGGCATTACCGAAAAGCTCGTTACGGCCGGCATCGGTGGCCATGGTGTCGTTCGAGGCAGTTCTGCCGAGTCCGCCGTAACCACCAGGACGCTGGGGTGGACCGCCTCCATATTGGTCGTTTCCATATCCTGACTGTGCGCCATAGCCACCTCCTTGAGCACCATAGCCAGCAGGTCGTTGTCCATAGGACTGACCAGGTCCCGTTACCGCTGGCGTCTTCTCTTGTCGGAAAGAGCTGTCCTGGCCGCCAGAGTATGAGGGAGGCGGCTGGGCATAGGGGTCGTTTGCGGGAGGGGCGGCATATGGGTTTTGAGCTGCTGGGCTCTCTTTTCCCTTGCGGCTGCCGAAAAGGGCGGAGCGGTTGCTGTCTTCAGCCTCACCACCCTTGTCTTTTTTCTTGCCAAACAAGCCCATGATGATGTATTAGAAAGCGGAGATGTTTGATTTGAATACGAGGGTATTAGTGGAAAGTGTAAGGACGGTGTTCGTACGGGCGAGGTGGAGGTTGGATCGAGGATGGGTGTTGGGTCGCTGTAGGGGTGAATGGATCGGGAAAGGCAGCTAGTTAATTGTGGGGTGCGTCTTATCGATTGCGCCAACAACAGATGTCGCGCTCTAAGGTGACGACGGGATAGCGAGGCGTTGCAATTGAGAAATAAGAGGCGATGTTGATTCTATATGTGTATATATACACAGGCTGCACGGGAGATGAGGGGTGTTTGAGCGACGGTAGGCCGGGGCGTCTGGTGTTTCAATCCATTCAAGCGCCCAGAAGCTGACGCTACCTAGAAGGCGGAGTTCAGGTACGCCACCGCTCTGGTTGTGGCAGTGTACGCGGACATTCGCGGGCAACGCCGATCATACGATGACGATGCCTGCTCCTTGGTAAATACTTGAGAACATTCTGCCTTTGAATTGCCAATGCAGACGAACGCCACTGAGAGCCTCGCGGTTTTCGCCTTGAAGGGTTGGGCTGCTTGGGCCCATAACTTTCTGGTCCCTGCATATTGCTACGGCCACCCTGGTCGTGCCACTCACGCAAGGCCCCGGTGGACATGCACATTCAGACCGAAAACAAAGCAGATATGTGCTCAAAAATAGAGCAAGAGAAAAGCTAATCGCGAATTAGTAGTATGTTTTATCTCCTTGATCGGGGTATCTAAATGCTGCTTCTTGTCGCAACCATCTTCTACTACACATAACACGGCCTTTGTTTCGTCGCCCGTCATCGCCTAACGCCCAATGCCCAACCAGAACGTCTGCTAGATTGTCCATACTGCACTATCTTCTTCGTGCGTCCCCTCACCGTCAGACGATGGTAAGTCTTCGTGCTCCTCCTTTGTCCTGATTTCATTTCCTGTTACCACGGGAAAAGACGTCAGAACCCGGCTGATATCGCCCCACCACACTTCGCCAAATCTACGATACCAATCCACAGTAATCCGGAGGCCTTCATCGAAGCTTGTCTTGGGCTGCCATCCCAGCGCAGCAAGTTTCGAACCATCTGTTGCGTACCGCTGGTCGTTGAAGGGGCGATCTTCGGTATACTGAATCCATTGTGTTAATTCGCTTTTTGTATCTCGCGGGATGCCGAAATTATCGAGGAGAAGATAGCAGATCTCCGTATTCGATATCTCGTCCTTGGAGGCAATGTTGTAAATTTGCCCAATGTCACCCTTGTGCAAAATGGTGTCCAGAGCATCTACAATATCGCCTGCGTAGAGATAACGCCGCGTTGGTGAGCCGTCGCCGTGGAGGAGAAGCTTCCGCTTTCGCTGTAGGAGCATGATGAATTTGGGTATAATTTCTACATCTCTATCAGACCTGCGCGTCATTTTCGGGGTGGAAACGTCACCTACTCTCGGGAAATTGATGTGGCCCGTATACGTTATTCGCCCGGACTGTAATTAGGGGCAGCTTGAAGCTGCTCCGGTATGCGCTGACCATCATCTCCGCCGCCGCTTTGCTGGCCGAGTATGGATTTGTGGGTGCCAATATGCTCGTTTCGCTCAGGTCCGCTGCACCAACAGGCACATCACCATATACTTCGTCTGTCGAGATGTGTATGAATTTATTGACACCATGTTCCCTTGCTCTCTCAAGCAACACATGTGTTCCATAAACATTTGTGTGCGTGAACTCGTACGAGTTGCCAAAGCTGAGGTCAACATGCGATTGCGCCGCAAAATGGACAATGGTGTCGATTTTGTGCCTACGGAGCACACGCTTCACAGTAGCGGGCGAGGTGATGTCACCTTGCTCAAATGTGAAGTTCGGTCGGCCATCGAGAATGCGCGTGTTGTTGAGTGTTGCGCAGTAATCCAATCTGTCCAAGGAAACCACATTATAGTGGGGGTACGTAAGGACTATATGGCGTACGAACCAGCAGGCTCTGTGTCCACATCAGTCTTGCGCTCGCGACAGGTTCGAAAAGACGCACAGGTCGCGCTTCCAGTGGTTTCGATGCGACGTACATGAAGCCGGCGCCACCAGTGATCAATATGTTCTTCGCATCTGCAAGTGGCTCAAAGTTTGTGCTACCCGTAAATACTGGAGCTTGTGTCCAAAGCTTCTCTTTGACATAACTCCTTGGGTTAAGCACAGTCGAACTCCGGCGACCTATCGCCAGTGGCAATGTCAGTGCTTGGCCTGGACTGTGTGTCGTGCATTGCATTGCATAGCGTAGGTGGATACTTACGCTTTGTGCCATGGGTGCCATTTGGGACGTCGCATACTTCGCTAGATATCTCCAAGGCACTCATACTGGCAACAACTGTTGATGCCGTCGTGCAGGGAGGATACGAGGTTTACGCGGCATGCTTGAGCGACGTCTGAACCCGAAATTGTTATTGCGCAAGCGCGCCAGGCCATCCACGTCGCATCAACCAACGATCGACGCTAGCCTGAAGCAGACGCGTAGCCGGAAGGATGCCTCACGTCATCGAGTCAGGTACTGTGTAGTGTAGAATGAAGGTAACGCGTAGCTGCTTTTGGCTCTTTGGTAGGTTGTTTGATATAGCCCGAATAGACATAGAACAATATCTGAACCTCGCCGGACTACAATCTAGCTCAAATGTCAATGGTGAAGAAATACCGATGCGAGCCGTGGGTGAACAACAAGAACGTACAAGAAGACAACTGACAGTGAGCGAACAAACTCTTATTCTAACAGTGCTCTACGAAGAAGAAAACACTGATGAACTTACAAGCACGTAACCATCTCAAGATGCACTGGGAACTCTTATCTTGAAGTCCTGTGTGAAGAGATCTAGTCACGTGCCGAGTGTCTCCAATCCCGCCTACTTCCGTTTGGAAGTATGCAAGCACCCCCTCGTCAAAAAAAGCCGTACTTAACGCATGCTTGGAATATCCCTGAGTAGTGTACTGTTCGTGCTGAGCACTGCCACGTCTTTTGATAAGATGGTGCAAATAAACTTGTGGAACTTAATGCTGCCCCACCAAAGTGCCAAGCGGGAGTGAGGAGTAATAGAGCCCCATATCCACACCCCCGCAATATATATCTTGTGTCCTAGACGCACTTCAGCTTACTCGCACAGGGCAAACACATGCCTAAACTTTTATCATGGATTCTGCTAAACAAAGAGTCTGGTTCTTTCTCGAGCCGTTGGGCTTGTTGCCCGCCTGCATAGTTGTGTTGGGAATCACTGCCATAATTTTTGACTATAGTCGCATGCTGTATTTAAGAAAAAAGATGGTAACACCTTATGCTATCAATCTCATAACTTGATGCACTCGAAACTAACAAAGCAACAGCCACCTGGCCCATTACCCTGGCCAATAGTCGGAAACACTCTCAGTCTACCGAAAGAGAAACCTTGGTACATGCTGGAACAGCTCTCAAAAGACTACAAATCCCCAGTGATTACATTCTGGATTGGACGGTAAGTGCTCACTGCGACCTTACGTGAAAACACAGTTGATCAATTGTAGACGACCAACAATCTGGATTAACGATGCATGGGCTGCAGATGAGATCCTTGTCAAACGCTCCAATATCTACAACTCTAGACCACATATGCTCATGTTTGGTGAGCTGATGAATGGACAAGACAATCTCATACACAAATACACGTACACCAACGAGCAGCGAGAGAGATTCCGTGTCCTGCGCAAAATCACACATCATGGCGTTGGAATACAACAAGTGCGTCGTTCACATGGTGACTTGGCCAATACTGACTATCAAAGGTTCAACAATACCGAAAATTTCAAGACGACGAGAATAAAGTGGTGGTATATGATCTCCTGAAAACACCCGAGCTATTTGCTTCACATTTCGAACGCTATGCGGCGAGCGTTGTCTCTATTGTTGGATTCGGACGACGTATCTCCAATAGTCAAGATACATTGATCACGGAAGTCATAGCTCAGATGCAACATGCCGCTCACCTCGCTGTTGTGGCAAAAGACTGGCCACGGATCATCGAGACATTTCCTTGTCAGTATTCCTGCCTTCCTTTAAAAAATCTCTAATATAATTTTAGGGCTAGTAAAGCTTCCCCGTAGTATCGCACCCTGGTTACGCAACGTGAAACAGTCTAGCAAGACGAAGTACGGTCGTGAAAACTTCTTCTATACCCTAGCCGAAGAAGCACAGGATGCTCCAGACGAAAACTACGCAAAGTTCCTCTTTCGCGAAGCACCACAACACAAGCTTAGCCGCGGTGAAGTCTCCAGTCTTGTCTCCAATCTTTTTGGCGCAGGCGCCGATACCTCCAGTAGTACTCTCATCACAGCTATAATGGCTATGCGCGCCTTCCCCGAGACATTGAAGCCTGCCTGGGACGAACTCGATCGCGTGGTAGGCCACTCGAGAAGTCCTTCGCTCGACGACGAATTGCCCTATGTCCGCGCCTTTGCCAAAGAAGTTTTTCGCTGGCGCTCAGTAGCCGTTGTCGGAGGAAAACCTCACGCACCGACCCAAGATGACTACTGGAACGGCTACTACATACCCAAGGGAACTTGGATACAAGGAAATGTATGGGCTATTCATCACAACGAGCGCGAATTTCCAGACCCTGATCAGTTCAACCCGAAAAGGTTCCTCGACACGGAAGATCGACGACCGTTTCCGGGAGAGAAGGGATACATGACGTTTGGATGGGGGAGAAGGAGTTGTGCTGGTCAGGCCCTTGCTGAGCAGGGCACGCATCTCAGTGTTGCGCGCTTGCTTTGGGCCTATCGCGTCGAGCCTGCTACCGATGAGAAGACGGGGAAAGAGATACCGGTTGATATTTTCAGCTATACGTAAGGGCTTCATGAAGAGGCAACTGGATCTAGAGACGATACTAACAAAAGGTAGAAACGGATCAAATTGGCGTCCTCAGCCTTTCAAAGTCAAATTTACCCCTAGAAACGAGGAAATCAAGAAAACCATTCTTCGCGAAGGTGAG